TCAAATCACAACGTGGGTAGGTTAGACTAGAAATCAAAGCAGTTACTTCGGTAACCAGACGTTGGAGGCGAGCTGGGAACGACAAGGCTGATACCGAATCTAACCAGATTCCCATGCGAATCAGCAAAGAGTGTAACGTCACATTTGGTGCCGCGACCAATACCAAGTCACATTGGTCGTCGCATGACAGAACGGCGGTGGGCTCGGAGACACGCCGGGGTGGCGTCACACGGAAAAATAGCACAGACTGATACATTCCAAAGGTAACATGTCGTCATCAAAAACTATCTATTTTTGTCGTTTCACACCATGCAAGCCGATAAAAGCACTAAGAGGCAAGTGATGAGAACACTTTAGTACGGAAGAAGGACATTTACAGTGTATGATTCAGGAATACAGAAAATTGAGATTAGCGTTACATTTAAATTCTTGAAGATTGTAGGTGACAGAAACACAAGGAACCGGAAGAGAACTCAAGCGGCAAGAAGTGCGAGAAATGAAACTATTAGAATAGAACTTCCGGTTACAACTAGCTATTTTAACAGTGAAACCATGAAACCCATTTGCCATAAAAATAATACGCTTAAATCCGGGCCATCAATGTAATAAAGTGGAGAGCGATATTTATTTTGTAACAAAGTACAAAAATGTGGCACAAGGCCAAAGTGGGGAAGGGGAAAAAAGAATGGTCTTCTTCTGTCTTATAATTCAACTTAGCTAGCCACACTCACTGGCCCGAATATGCCACAATATTCCTTACACCAAACACATTATTAATTACCATTCTTACTACAGTCACCGTAATACCTCAGAATCTCTATGATGTCCAAAATAATTCCCATGTGTATAATTTGTGCCATAGAGGAAAGTAATATTTATTTTGAAAATACAAAAATATGACACAAGGTCAAAAGTGGGTACAGGGGAAGGCTGGTCTTCAGTCTGTCTTATCTTAAACTTAGCTAGCCACAATCACTGGCCTAAACATGCCACAATATTCCTTACACTGAAACAACACATTATTAACATTCTCACTCCAGCCACCATAATACCCAAGAAGTTCTAACTAGTCCCCATATGTACAATTCTATTGTATCCTTAAAGAGGTTACAAACAGAGAAATGTGGTACTCAAGTGAAAAAACACGCGCGTAGATGAAAAAAATAGAGGTTTATTGCAAAAAAGAATACACTACTGAAAGACAGGGAATCAGGTGGCAGGCTAGTAATTCCCGAAGCAAAATCCCTCAGGTATATCCTGTGCTCACTATATATAGCTACTGATATAGTCAGTCAACATAGGCAATAGGGAGTGTGGGACATTCCATTACCACACCATCTCCTGAGCTAATTTTCCAATGAAATTTTGATCAGTACCTCTTCTTTTGGGGGTCAAGACATAACTGTTTGACTTTTTTTCCTCTTTCTCGTACTTTTCCGTCTCACGAGCACAAGAAAATCTTGTCTGTGTGGAGAGAGGAAGAAAACAGCAAATTTAAAAATTCTAAACCCCAATGTGTATTAACAATATGAAGGCTCATTATAACGACTGCAATGAAAATATTTATAGAAAAGACAGAGGGAAGCCACTGTGGGAAAGTGACTGAAGTTGAGATCTCAGGTCAGGACCAATTATCTTCTATGGATTTTGTCGAGAATTTCGATATATATATATATATATATATATATATGAAGAAAAATATATACGGAAAAAACAAACAAAAATCCTTATATACAATTATTCTGTTTTAATGTTAATATGTGAACGTCGGACGTTTCGGTCTAATAAACCATCTTCAGGACATATTCATAAATTATAACATTATCAATACAACATGAATTGTTTGTTTTTTCCGTATATATTTTTCTTCATACTGTCGGATCTATATCCATATATTTGCTTATATATATATATATATATATATATATATATATATATATATATATATAACAGGAGCACCAGACCATATATGGCAACAGTATTCAATGCACGGACGAATGGTAGAATTATAAATGTGCAAGATGGACTCTGACGAGAAAAAAAAACTTTTGCCACGACACAGTGAACCAAAAATTACTATTAACAAACCTATCAATTGATTCAATATAATCATTTTACTTCATATCAGTGGAAATCGTGCGACCAAGATGATTGGTGGGAGGCAAAATATTTTCTTTATAGAAGTTTCGTTTTGATAATCTGGTTTCGAAAGAAAAGTTCAGATTTATTTTTGGTACAGATTTTGTCACCTGCATCCATAACGTTATCCCCTGGCAAGGTGATGCTTTTAAAGATAATCTAACATTTAATTCTTTAAAATTTATTACAACTAAGCAATAACAGTTTAGCGTTCGAATTATAAAGTTATATTTTCTTAGGTCCCGTCTCAAACACGGGCAAGTGGCCGAGTGGTTAGAACGTTTGCATTCTGCCCATAAGACCCGGGTTCGAATCCCAGCTTTTTCGATTTGTCAAGAAGGAGACTTCCTGATGGTATCGTACTGGAGGGGTCCATCCCAGCGAGCGTCACCTTTGGAAAGTATCTGAAATCATACCACGGGTTGAGGGCTGATCTTGTTGAAATTGTCGATCACGCTAGATAACACACTCTTTTCCTTGGAAACTGTAACTGTCTTCTCAGCATAGTTGCAGTAAAAGTCACATATATAGAAGGCTATAGAACCCAGTCTGTATCTGCTCTGTGGGTGTTGAACAAACATAAATATGCCTGAGCAAGCGTCTGCAGTAGGGATTGTTTAATAGACGGTTATCCTCGAATAAGAGTGGCCATATATACATACGTATATACATCTCAAACGAAGGTTATAGGGAAAGCCCATCTCTGTAAATTAACAACCGGTTTACATCCCTTACGTCCGGGTTTTATAAGCATTTTTCACGTCGCTGTAGTGTTTCAATTTGATTATGTGTCATGAGTTGTTAATAAAAGGGTCAGAGTTCAACATACAAATTACAAAGTCGATATAGCAAAATCAAGCAGTTAAAACAATTTATATATGACCGAAGCTTTTTTAACAATAGACGGAAAGTTCATTTTGTTATGTTTTTTTTTTTTTTTTTTTTTTTGTTTTTTTGTTTTTTTGTTTTTTACATTAAGGCTTACCCTGTACAAGGCCTGGTGGCCACTAAGAGGTTACTTTAAGGGGAAGATAACGGTTTACTCTGCACTTGGACAGGTGAAGATAGTAGTGATAGGGGAGACAGCCTCTTGTTCGTCTGTTCCACACGGCAATTGTTCGTGGGAAGAAGCTGTTTGAGTGGAAGTGGCATGGCTGATCCTAGCCGTGAAGTTCAATCCTGGTCGAACCGAGAGATGTAGTTTGTCCGAGCGCTTTCCATGAGAGTAGAGATAGAGCAGTGAGAGAAAGAGAGAGGTTGGCGAGTAGAAAATAATTCTTCTCCGACATGAACTCAGAGACGCTTTTGAACCCCATCGAGACCAGAAAGTGAGGTTTGGAAAGATCCTGGGCTAGCGAAATATGCTTTCCAAAAACTAAGCAAAGTATTAATGAAAGAGGAAAATATCGTTAGAAGCAAAGAAAATGGCATTGGACTGATATTTAATGTCAGTCTTAGAGATGAGAGTGGATGCTGGTCAATCTCTTCACAGATGAAGAAGAAACTTGAAACAACAGAAATGTGGTTCTACAGAAGGATGATGAGAATTTTACTGACCAAATATGTCCTCAACGACGAAGTTCTAGAGACAATGGCAACAAGAAGGACACTTATACTCAACATCAGAAAGGGAGAGTTGAAAATTCTAGGCCACACAATGGTAAAATTGGGCTTGAAGAAGAAGAAGAAGAAGAAGAAGAAGAAGAAGAAGGAGGAGGAGGAGGAGGAGGAGAAGAAGAAGAAGAAGAAGAAGAAGAAGAAGCCCGTAATTTGTGCAAGTCTGCCATTGACACTACAATATTACATCAACATTGCAGGGGCGACCACTAAATTGAATTAGAAATAATATATATATATATATATATATATATATATATATATATATATATATATATATACATGCTTCACAAAACTCTTCCTGGGTTTTGGACTGTCATAACCACATATTTTCTGACACTATATTACTCAGAGTACTTGAATAAGTATATTTCATTTTGATAAAAGGGCACACTCCTAAACTTAATTTTGTTTCCCTTCGATTTAAATTAAATTTAACTTTGAACAAATGAATGACTCTTATTCTCTAAATTTGGGGAAATAATTCCATGCCTTTTTTCCAGGGCATTATTTTGAAATGAATGAAACAGAATCCACCGAAATTCGAACTTGCCACGCCGATTACACTTTCTGCGTCAGTAACTATTATATGACACCCAAACTGAGCTAAACTCTGATTAAAATATGTCTACATTCGTTTACAGACCAGAAGCGACTGTGTTTATTTATTTATTTATTTATTTAATTATTTATTCGATTCGCTAGCCCAGATCCCAAAACGACCGATGCTACGTTCAATATAGACACAGAGACGAAGTGCTTTGCATTTAAGATTAATGCTTTAGATGCAATTGCTTAACTTTACGAAATAATATATTAACTCAGCTTTCAGTGAATGTTAAAAAGTTTTGAACTGAGTTTTACTTTCCTGATTTTAAAACTTTGAATACTGGCTCAAGTTTGTGACAGGATTTTAAAACTGTCAGGCGAAAGAATTTGGTCTTAAGTGAGCAACATGGCCGCTGACGTCTTTGTCTTCGTTGACACTCTAATTGTCTAATCAAATAGACGCAATCAAATTAAGCTTTCTCCATTTTCCACACAGGCCAGATTACTAAGTGAAGACGTTCTTACTCGGCCATCTTCGAAGTACGCCCCACCCGTCCTCGTTTCTGCGTCAGTGTTACTCGTGTTTTGTACAGAGACATAAAATGCCGTTTGGTGAATCTCTTGAAAAGGAAGAGTGCACGCTAAATAAAAACAATCGAATTAGAAGCCACGTTTGGAGCGAACTGCTGATCGGATTATTTGCTTTGGTGAAAAAGAGAGAACAGAGGAAAAAGGTATAGAGGGAAAGAAAGTGAAAAAAACAGAAAGAAAGAAAGAAAGAAAGAAAGAAAGAAAGAAAGAAAGATGGCACGAAAGGGAAGAATTATAGCACAAAATAAAGAAAGAAAGATGGCAGGAAAGGAAAGAAATATAGCATAAAAGAAAGAAAGAAAGAAAGAAAGATGGCACGAAAGGAAAGAATTATAGCACGAAAGAAAGAAAGAAAGAAAGAAAGAAAGAAAGAAAGAAAAAAGAATGATGGCAAAAAGGAAAGAAAGAAAGAAAGAAAGAAAGAAAGAAAGAAAAGAAAGAAAGAAAGAAAAGAAAGGAAAGAAAGAAAAAGAAAGAAAGAAAGAAAGAAAGAAAGAAAGAATGATGGCACGAAAGGAAAGAAAGAAAGAAAGAAAGATGGCACGAAAGGAAAGAACGAAAGAAAGAAAGAAAGAAAGAAAGAAAGAAAGAAAGAAAGAAAGAATGATGGCACGAAAGGAAAGAAAGAAAGAAAGATGGCACGAAAGGAAAGAACGAAAGAAAGAAAGAAAGAAAGAAAGAATGATGGCACGAAAGGAAAGAAATAAAGAAAGAATGATGGCACGAAAGGAAAGAAATATAGCACGAAAGAAAGAAAGAAAGAAAGAAAGAAAGAAAGAAAAATGGCACGAAAGGAAAGAAATATAGCACGAAAGAAAGAAAGAAAGATGGCACGAAAGGAAAGAAATATAGCACGAAAGAAAGAAAGAAAAATGGCACGAAAGGAAAGAAATATAGCACGAAAGAAAGAAAGAAAAAAGAAAGAAAGATGGCACGAAAGGAAAGAAATATAGCACGAAAGATAGAAAGAAAGAAATATTGCACGAAAGAAAGAAACAAACAAGCAAACAAACAAACAAAACAAAAAAAACTAAAACACCAAGGAAACAATGAAAGAAAAAAAATGAAAAGAAAGCTACAAAGATAGTACCTAAAGAAAAAGAAAGAAAGAAATATAGAAACCAAATAAAGAAAGGAAAAGAAAGAACGAGAGGAAGAAGAAAGAGAGCATCTAAAGAAAAAATAAAAAAGGTAGCATCTAAAGAAAAAAAAGAAAGATGAGACCGAAAGAAAGAAAGAAAGAAAAAAAAATAGCACCTAAAGAAAGAAAGGAAAAAAAGATAGCACCAAAGGAAAGTAAGAAAAGAAAGAAAGCTAGCATCTAAAGAAAAAAAAAGAAAAAAGAAAGATTGCACCAAAAGAAAAAGAAAGGAAGAGAGCAGCTAAAGAAGAAAGGAAAACGAAAGAAAGATGGCGCCTAAAGAAAAAAAGACAAAAAAGATAGCACCAAAAGAAAAATGAAAAATAAAGATAGCGCCTAAAGAAAGAAAGAAAAAAGAAAGAAAGAAAACAGAAAGAAAGATAACAGAAAAAGAAATATAACACCAAGGAAATAAATAATGAAAGAAAGAAAAATGAAAAGAAAGCTCCAAAGATAGAACCTAAAGAAAAATGCATTTAAAGAAAAAAAGAAAAAAAGAAAGAAATATAGAAACTATAGAAACAGAGGAAAAGAAAGATACAAACAAAAAAACAAGAGAAAGAAGAAAGAAATCATCTAAAGAAAAAAAGAAAAATAAATGTAGCATATAAAGAAAAAAAAGAAAGATGACACCGAAAGAAAGAAAGAAAAAAATAGTATCTAAAGAAAAGAAGGAAAAAGAAAGATAGCAAGATAGTAAGAAAAAGAAAAAAAGCTAGCAAAAAAAAAGGAAAAAAGATTGCAGCAAAAGAAAGGAAAATGAAAGAAAGATGGCGCCTAAAGAAAAAAAAATTAGAAAGATAGAAGAAAAAAAGAAAAACAAAGATAGCACCTAAAGAAAGAAAGCATAAAGAAAAAGATAGCAACGAAAGAAAGAAAAGAAAAAGAAAGATTGCACCAAATGAAAAAAGAAAATAGAAAGAAAAATCGCACCTAAAGAAAGAAAGAAAAAAGAAAGATAATAGCACAAAGAAAAGAAAGAAAGAAAAAACAAAGCACTTAAAGAAAGACAGAAAGAAAGAACAAGAGGAACACGAGGTCAGAAATGAAACAGTAAGGCCAAAACAAGGAAGCTGAAATGAATGAAAAGCTATCTCAAATTTAAAAAGAGTAATACTACTTGAAAGAAAGAAAGGAAAAAGAGAAAGATATCGATAGTTCATATCAAAAACAAAATGAACAAAAATGGGAATTAAAAAGATGGAAAAAGAGGAAGGGTAAACAAAATAGAAAGAACGAACGAACAAACGAACTACAGAAAGAAAGAAAGAAAGAAAGAAAGTAAGGAAGGATCAATTATTGATCAAAGTTTTCAAATTGATTAAAGAAGATAAAAAGAAAGAAAATCATTTTCAATTTCAAAGAAAGGAAAAAAAATAAAATATCGAATGTTCACTCCAGAAACAAAAACAGAAACAAAAATATCCGATTTAAACATAAAAGCAAATATCAAATGTAAAAGGAATAAAGAAAAAAATACGAAACGAACGACAAGAAAAGAAGAATTTAAAAAAAAAGATCAAATGTAATAAGAAAAAAGTCAATCAAATTGGAAAAAGAAAGAAAAAACGAAATGAAAAAACGAAATGAAAAAAGAAAGAAAGAAAGTACCAAAAAAAGAATGAGAAAAAGAAAGGAAGATAGCATCTAAAAAAGAAAAAGAAATATACCATCTAAAGAAAGAAAGAAAGCTAGCAACAAAAAAGAAAGAATTACCGATAACAAATAAGAAAATAGGAAAAAAAGAAAGAAAAAAAAAAAAAAGGCATTTCACCTAAAGAAAGAACAAAGAAAGAAAGATAGCAACAAAATAAAGAAGGAAAAAAGAAAGAAACATAGCAACTAAAGAAAGAAAGATAAAAGAAACATAGCAAAAAAAAGAAAGAAAAAAGAAACATAGCAACTCAAGAAAGAAAAAGAAAGATAGCACCAAAAGAATAAAAGAATTAACGATAACAAGAAAGAAAGCAAGAAAAGAAATAAAGAAAATATATCATCAAAAGAAAGAAAGAAAGATAATATGTGCAGAAATAAAGAAAGGAAGTAAGATTGCTTCATTAATTCATTTGTTTGATTTTAGGGGGTTTTTTTTCAGGTTATTTTAAAGATTTTTAGACTGTAAGAATTTTTCGGAGATAACAATTTAATGATACAAGTACTACTAATTAACCCATAGTTGAAGATAAAAGAAGTGGATTCATAATTTTCGCAAGGGTATCTACGCGAATGTAACGAACCCGACTGAATTTGGAATTCAGCTTTTCGATTTGCAATCGCAAGCCATTATCGATTACACCACCCGCACATTCAAGTATCTATCTAGGTACTGACCAAGCTCGACGCTGCTTAACTTTGCTGATCGCACAAAAACCGGTGTTAGTAAAGAAAGAAAAAAAGAAAGAAATTAAGAAATATACCCCGAGAAAAAGAAAGAAATATAGCACGAGAAGAAAGAAAGAAAGAAAGGAAGAAAGAATAAAGAAAAGGAAAGAAAGAAATATAGCCCAAGAAGAAAGAAATCCCCAAAATAAAAAATCCCAAAAGAAAGAAAGAGACAGCACAAGAAAAAAGAGAAAGAAATATAGCCTGAAAAGAAAGAAAGAAAGAAAGAAAGAAGGGGGAAATATAGCCCGGTAAGAAAGAAAGGATGAAAAGAAAACTGCACAAAAAGAGATAGAGTTTGAAAAGAAAGAAAGAAAGAAAGAAAGAAAGAAAGAAAGAAAGAAAGAAAGAAAGAATGGAATATTATACGAAACAGAAAGAAAGAACGGACGAAAGAAAAAAGAAAAAAAAAAAAGAAAGGAGGTAGTGCGAAAAGAAAGAAAAACGGAAATAGGAAGAAATAAGGAAAATGTGATTCGAAAGGAAGAAAGCAAGAAAAAATGAAAGCAAAATATTGGATATAAAATCGAGTATATGGAAGAAAAAAGAGTAAAAGTAAGATAGATAGATAGATAGATAGATAGATAGATAGATAACTGAAGCCACGCGAGTAAAGAGCAACGTGATTATTTGGTGCCCGCCATTTTGGGCTACAAAAAAAAAGCTAAAGAAAAGCTTTAACAAACAACACCAGGCGATGGTGACGGTGAGCGCCATAAACAAAGTTAGAACTTTGAACGGAAAACCATTAATGCTCTATTATAGGGCGATCGAAATCTTGAACTCTCGACTCAACTGTGCGAGCTGATTGAGATATTTGTTTTGAAGAGGTCCTGTTTTTGTTATCTTCTAAGAGCCACGCGCCGTTCTCTCTCTCTCTCTCTCTCTCTCTCTCTCTCTCTCTCATCACCACTCTTGTACATTTGGGAATATTGTGTTTCGTCATACACATATATATATATATATATATTTTTAATTTATTGTTTTCTTTTCTTGGTTTTAAGACGAGCCAAGAGCTTTTTTTGGACATTTTTGGTTGTTGTCGAAATCGACTAAAAATCTGTAGACACTCAACGCAGAAGTTCGTTACAAAATGCCTACAAGTTTACAAAACTTGTGAATTGCATACAATACACACGAACAAGCCGACATTAAGTGAAGCTTTTTGCATTTTCCGTCCATTTTCCAAGGCAGCCAGGAACAATATGCCGACTCTTTTTTTTATTTTTATTTTTGGTCTGTCTTCCTCGTACACATGCAATTGCATACACACACACACACACACATATATATATATATATATATATATATATATATATATGCATGTGGACATATGCATGTTATTATACACCTAACCGTGTTCGTGCAAACTGAATATATACACAAATACATAACTCTTCCCAAAACAATTCCAGCAATTATACAAATATTCACGTTGTTTCGAGCGTTAAGCTTCGACGACAGTATGTTCTCGATTCTTGTTTTCGTCTCACGTTCTTTGAACAAAACTCTTTGATGCTGAATACTTGATTAAAAGCTCCAAAAACTGCCGTAATGGTTAATATCAAGTCGATCGCTACTTAGTGGCATCTGTTTATCGCTGGAGATAAAGGAAGTGTCCTGTTTAGTCAAATTTCAGTCTGTTGAATTTGACACTGGATTGACCTCTTCAGATCGCAAGTTTGGGCAATGACATATGGATACCGGTTTGCTGCTCAAGCAACATGGCTCTCTTCTCGACGTGTGCTCGTTTGAATCCTGTCGTACCGAAAATATCGCATTACGTCCTATTCATTTTAATTGTTGCAATTTTTGTAAAGTCATCAAGTGTTTTAGTTTCTGTTGTTTAGTAGTGATCTTTGTTTACGATTGTGTAGCGTCAGTCCACAAGGTTCGAAGAAAAAATGATCCTCGCTAAAACCTATATGGTTCACGTGCTCGATTCATTTTTAAGGATTGGCTTGAGAAGGCAGTTTTTGGTTGGTTGTTTTTGTTTAACGGTATATGAACACCCTTTCTTTTTAATCATTTCACACCAAACAAGGCGGGGAGCCACGAGTACGCAAGGGGTTACATAGGATTTGGAGCAAGATCAAATGGGAGTGATACAGGAAAGGATGAAGAGAAGGATAGTGGATAGATCAAGACAACTGGAGATGTCGATTGACATTACATTTAAATGGTTGGAGATTATAGCTCTCAGGGAAACAGGAATAGGGAAGGAAGTTCCACAGGTGAGAGGTGCGAGATATGAAGCTATTGGAGTAGAAGAGACGGCTACATTTAGGAATTTCAACAGTGAAAGGATGAGTGCGGGATGCCAGCCTAGTAGGACGCTTGAATTCATGAAGTCTGGGGACCAGCGAATGCAGCTCCTCGTAGCAATTACCATAAAAGTATTTGTAAAATAGACAGAGAGAGGCGACGTCGCGTCTGTGAGAGAGTGACTGTAGACGAGATGCCAGATCAGGGCTAAATATATTGCATATCCGCCTCTGGGTCTTATCAAGAACCCCCTCCAGACCATATATGGCAGCAATACTCCGTGCAAGGGCGAATTGTTGATTTGTATGGGTGATTTAATACCAAAATCTAAATATTTGGAACATAATTTTATGGCTTCAACTAAATATATTTTGAACGCAATTGTATGGCTTTAACTACAGATAAAATGTATTGTTGATCATTTTACTATAAATATGTATTGTTGGTTGGTTGATTTTGTTTAGCAACATATCAACATCTATGGGTTATTTAATACCAAAATCTAAATATTTGAAATATAATTTTATGGCTTCAACTAAAAATATTTTGAACGCAATTGTATGCGTTTAAATACAGATAGAATGTATTGTTAATCATTTTACTATAAATATGTATTGTTGGTTTGTTGATTTTGCTTAGCGGTATATCAACACTTCTATCGGTGATTTAATACCAAAATCTAAACATTTGGAACATAATTTTATGGCTTCAACTAAAAATATTTTGAATGCAATTGTATGCGTTTAAATACAGATAGAATGTATTGTTAGTCATTTTACTAATATGTATTGTTGGTTGGTTAATTTTATTTAGTGGTATATTAACACTTCTATATTTTGAACGCAATTGTTTCACTTCAACTACAGATAAAATATTTTGTTAGACATTTTGCTATAAAATGTATTGTGGATTATTCTGCTCGTTTTCAATATTTTTTTTTTCTTTTCTATTTTTTGCTTGTTATGGAGCATTCCTTGGAGAATAAAATGGCTACGTATGATGTCTAGCAACGAATAAAACTCATTGAGGTTTCTATTCTAAGATCAATTACTTAAATTACTGGCAACATTTTAATGTTAGGGTATTCTCCTATCGATATCATGATTGGAAACCTGATCGACTGATTTGAAGAAACTGGATCAGTCGATCTTCCGGGAAGAGGTCGTCAGCTCACTGTGCGCACTGACCCAGCGGTGGTAGCTGTTCGTCAGAGTTTCCGTGAGTATCCATCTGCTTCTATCTGCTGTCGTTCTGATCAACTAGGCATCGCCAGAACATTGCTTCAGAAGATTCTGAATCTGTTTTTTAAAATGTTTCCCTGCAAGATTCAAATGGTTCAAACTTTACTACCCCAAGATATTCATGTGTTTGTAAAAATTAGTTTTGTTTTTATATTATTCAGTCTCTCGGTGGCTAATTGTAATTGTAATTTTGATAATTTTATTATATATATATTGTTGCTAATGTTACTATAAATGTGTATTGTTGGTCATTTTATGAATAGCTATTTTCGTAATTTTTTTATATAAGAATGTATTGTTAGTACTTTGCTTTAATGGTGTTTTTTTAGGGATTCACTATTCTCCAATAACTGGGACCCTAACAGGTGCTACCACTCCAGGTCAGGATGAACCTGGGAATAAAAATTAAGAGATGATTCTACACGTTTCAAACCCTCCAATCTCCCACTCAGAAGCCTTGATGCTGGATGTCATACCCGGGACTAAAATGGTTGTATATAGCTGACAGTTTAGATATTTCAAAACGAATTTGGTGTCATGCATAAAAACCATAAGAAAGTCTAGATCAGACCAGGCTGCTTAAGAACATTACAATTTTTATGTTAACGTATGTTTAACAATTTGCTCTGTTGGTCGGAACTACCCCATGACCTTTCCTAATCACCAGCAATACCATTTTACTGTTTTCCTAATATCTACAAATAATATGTGTTTACCTTGTAGATTCTCGTACGGCGTATACGGGCACAGCTTCACAACAGTAGATATGATTGCTGTGGTTTCCCTTTGATTGATGCCGACAAGATCAGAAGGATTTACTTGCTTAAATTAATCCACGTTTGGATATACCCACAAGGTAGCAGCACATTAAAATCTTCGCATAGCGTAGCGTTTATATGCAAAGAAAACGGTCTTCGCTTATCGAGTTCCAAATCTAGCCAGAGTCCTTGATTTAGATTTCACGCATTAAAAAGAATAAATCTATCTGTTCTTGGTAAAATCACCCACCCCATCAAGGGCCGAATAGCGAACAAGATCGCGCTTTCGTTGACAACCAATCAAAGAGAGAACGGTTGTGACGTCGTCCCCCCTGGTCGCAGCGTCGACTGTGTCGTTCGATCTCGTTCGCGGCGCCAACTGTGACGTGACGTGGTCCAGGGTTCTGATCCTATGGTCACGACACCAGTTGTAACGTCTTTGCCGCGGCGTCAGCTGTTCGCTCCTCGCTGCTCCAAGTGTGATGTTCTAACCCTTAAGATGAGGACAATAGTCCGAATAATGTAAATAATGTACATAATACCTCTTCTCAGAAATATAGACAGATACTGAAAGGCCAAAACGTTGTAATAAATATGGTGACAAAGATGAAGACAACAGTCCGAATAATGTAAATAGTGTACATAATACCTCATCTCAGAAATATAGACAGATACTGAAAGGCCGAAACGTTGTAATAAATATGGTGACAAAGATGAGGACAATAGTCCGAATAATGTAAATAATGTACATAATACCTCTTCTCAGAAATATAGACAGATACTGAAAGGCCGAAACGTTGTAATAAATATGGTGACAAAGATGAGTACAATAGTCCGAATAATGTAAATAGTGTACATAATACCTCATCTCAGAAATATAGACAGATAATGAAAGGCCGAAACGTTGTAATAAATATGGCGACAAAGATGAAGACAACAGTCCGAATAATGTAAATAATGTACATAATACCTCATTTCAGAAATATAGACAGATACTGAAAGGCCGAAACGTTGTAATAAATATGGTGACAAAGATGAGGACAACAGTCCGAATAATGTAAATAGTGTACATAATACCTCATCTCAGAAATATAGACAGATACTGAAAGGCCAAAACGTTGTAATAAATATGGCGACAAAGATGAGGACAATAGTCCGAATAATGTAAATAGTGTACATAATACCTCATCTCAGAAATATAGACAGATCATCCAGGTGGTCCTCACCCAGTCTTGTTAAACGGCTTTTAATATATTTCATCTTTGAAAAAAGTTGTTCACAACCATAATGATACCAACATTTTCGCATTATGTAATAGGCTTTTCTATTTTTCGCTTGTCAAAAGATATTTCTTGTCAGCAATCGATTCGGATTGAAATTTTGATTTTAAAAAAATTCGTCGCATTTTAAGTCAGTTAACTCCAAATTATATTTTTTTGCAACTTGTTCCACAACTTAATTACATAATTAGTGTCCAGTGGATGA